TTTCGGGGGTCGCCAAAGAAGGCGATCCGCCATTTTCTCCCCTCAGGGGGCACCGCCGCGCATGCGCGCTGCGCATGCGCAGAACGTTTGTGTGGCGGGGGTCGCCGTCACACAAACGTTGAGAACCGCTGACTTACAACAATTCATTTAGTGAATGTCTGAAGTTACTACAGGACTGAAAAAAGTGACTTATGACTGTTGTTTCAGATTAGACCGTTGCAGCATCCCTCTCTTCATGTGATTTACATTTGGATGCTTGGCAACTAATTCATATTTATGATGGTCATAGTGTCCCGGGATCACATGATCCCCTTTTGCGACCTTCTGACAAGCAAAAATCAATGGGGAAGCCAGATTCCCTGCTACTAGCTGAGAGGTAAGCAACCTTGGCTCTTTTATGACTCGTGGACTTCAACTCCCAGAATTCCTGAGCCAGCATGACTCAGCTTGGAAACCTCTCCCTTTCCCCTCAACATGGCTGGCTCAGGAATTCTAGGAGTTGAAGTCCACGAGTCATAAAAGGCCAAGGTTGCCTACCCCTGTACTAGCTCAACAATTGCAGTGATTCACTTAACAACTGTGGCAAGAAAGGTCGTAAAATGGGCCAACATTCACTTAACCACTGTCTTGCTTCGCCACAAAAATCTGGGGCTCAATTGTGGTTGTAAGTCAAGGACTATCTGTAAACTGAATTAATAAATAAAATAAATATAATAAAATAGTATTGGGGGGTGGTGGGGATATAAAAATGGTAACCTGAAGCCAAGCCATTGTGTTCTGGATAACGGAAAATGAATTATTGGTTTATGTTACTCAAGTGGTTTATGTTACTCAAGAAAACTGATTATCTAGAGATTTAGGATGGACCCAAAGAAGTATTTTACAGCCCTAACTTGCAACAAATATCACTTGCCCTTGAATGAACTATTGTTGACTGCCATTTAAAGAGGGACTCACACAACTGGCGGCTTGGGGTTTAAAATCCTTTCACCTCAGGATTCTAAATCATTTCTTAATCAAATGTAGAATATCTGCAACTGAACTAATCACGCGGAATAGTGACCACGTAAGTTTCCCTGTTTGAGAAGACATCCCTTTAACAAACACAAGTGCTATGTCATTAACTGGCTTATGCTGGCTTAAAAAGGACATATTCAAAAAGGTTAAACACACCAAATCACGGCTTGGGCCATAACTCTTCCTGTGCGGAGATAATATATGGCCGTGGGACACTGCAGCCGCCATAAATATGAGTCAGTGGCTAAGTGTCTGAATTTTGATCACGTGACCATGGGGATGCTGCAACAATCATGAGTCACTTTTTTCAGTGCTGCTGTAACTTTGGTCACTAAACGAACTGTTATAAGTGGAGGACAGCCTGTATAAAATCAACAGAAAGAAAACAAAGGTAATAAGAAGGCGCCCAACTTTGGAAAACAGAGGTTATATACAACGTACCACACAGCAAAGCAAGGCAACACACTTACAATATAGTTTTCCAAGAAAAGGAGACAATCTTGCAATAACAATAATAACAATAACAGCAACAGCAAGAAGAAGAAGAAGAAGAAGGAACCAAATAGAGACGAATACAGACAACACGAATATTCAAAATTACGACAGTGCTGGGAAAAAAAAGCTGATTTACGACCCGTCTTGGAAGCCGCAGGGCTCGTGAGCATTCCCCGCAGTCACGTGGTCGCGATTCGAACGCTTGGCAACCGGCGCGGGTTTAACTCTTACAGTATCCTGGCGTCTCCCGATCACGTGACCCCCCATCGGGCTTTCGGGAGGCGGCGCGTGCCTTGTCACGTGGCCGCGTCTCCTGGGCACGTGACCGGCGCTCGCGGCGTCGAGGAAGCCGAGATGCTTGCCCCGTTCCTGGTTAAAAAAAATGTCACCTAATCTCGGCTTGTCTCCTGGGCGGTTTTTTTTGCCTCCCTCTTCAGGTGAATGTCCTTCAAAAATGCTTTTTTTTTGCCTGTGAGGTAAAATAAAAGCAATTTGTCATGCTATGAGTGTTAAGCAGAGGAATTGGCGCTGGAGCTTTGGCAGGACACAGCAGTGTAGGGCTTGTGGCTTCAGCAGGTTCTTCTGACAAGTTCAAAACGGCCCTTTAAGGCAGGGCTCTTCAAACTTGGCCCTTTTAGGACTTGTGGACTTCAACTCCCAGAATTCCTCAGCCAGCATGCCTGAGGGGTGAGGAGCTGCTACAAAAAGAGGGTGGGGGGTGTCATGCTTTTCTCCAAAGCACCTGAGGGCAAGACAAGAAATCATGGATGGGAGCCCCAAAGGTGCTTTTTCTTCCTTGTTTTTCTTTGAAGATATTTCGCTTCTCATCCAAGAAGCTTCCTCAGGTCTGACCTGGTGGTGGGGAAGGTAAGGATTTATCTTCTGAAGAATATAAGGGCTGAAGAAGCTTCTTGGATGAGAAGCAATACATCTTCAAAGAAAATGTTTCTTTTCTTTTTTGGTTACTCTTATTTATGGGCGCTCCATCACTGGAAATTTTTAAGAAGAGACTGGACAATCACCTGTCTGAGATGATATAGGTTCTCCTGCTTGAGCAGGGGGCTGGATTCGTGGTTCACCTCTTTTCACCTCTATTTCTAGAAGCTCAAAGGATGGAAGATCAAACATGTCTATGTATTCAGAGCAAGCATAGACACATAGAGCTAAAACCAATTATGTATTCAGATTTGGAAGGGAAATCTGATATTGTGAGTATTATGTAAGCTTATGCCAACAGTTTATTAAGTTGAATGCCTAGTAGCCAGCGATTGTTGTTGCTCTTTGTTGTTGTTGTTAATTGCAAAGTCGTGTCCGACCCATCGCGACCCCATGGACAACGTTCCTCCAGGTCTTCCTGTCCTCTACCATCTTCTGGAGTCAATTTAAGTTCACACCTACTGCTTCAGTGACTCCATCCAGCCATCTCATTCTCTGTCGTCCCTTTCTTCTATTGCCCTCAATCTTTCCCAGCATTAGGCTCTTCTCCAGTGAGTCCTTCCTTCTCATTAGGTGGCCAAAGTATTTGAGTTTCAACTTCAGGATCTGGCCTTCTAAAGAGCAGTTGGGGTTGATCTCTTCTAGGACTGACCGGTGCTGGAGAAGACTCACAGGAGTCTTCTCCAGCACCATAGTTCAAAGCTCTTTACTATGTTCATAGTAACTAGTTACTATGTAACTAGTAACTAGTTTACTAGTTCATAGCTCTTTACTATGATTCATACTTTTTTTTTAATGAGAGATCAAAAAGGTTGCTCTGTGCAATTTCATAGAATCGGCATGAGTGTAAATAAATACACATGTTTGTGTAATTAATATTGTAGACATTTACCAAGTATGAAAAGTATTATCAAGATGTTCTCTTGAAACATTCTCTATTTGTCTGGTGTGCCTCTTTAAACAGCTAAACCCTCCAGATTATACTGGTGTGCAGGTACTCCTATTTATGACCACAATGGAACCCAACATTTCCATTGCTAAGTGAGACAGTTGTTAAGTAAGTTTTGTCCCATTGCATGACCGTTCTTGCCACTGTTAGGTAAATCACTGCAGTTATTAAGTTACTAACACAATTGTAAAGTGAATCTGGCTTCCCCATTCACTTTGCTTGTCAGACGGTCACAAAAAGAGATCATGTGACCCTGGACACTGCAACTGTCTCAAATACATGCCAGTTGCCAAGTGTCTGAATTTTGATCATGTGACCATGGAAACGTTGGAAGTGTGAAAAATGGTTATAAATCACGTTTGTGAGTGCCGTTGTAACTTCAAACAATCACTAAATCAGTGGTTCTCAACGTTTGTGTGACGGCGACCCCCGTCACACAAACGTTCTGCGCATGCGTGGCATGCGTGCGCGGCGGCGGTCCCATGCGCGGTGAGCATGTGCGGCGGCGCCCCCTGAGGGGAGAAAATGGCGGCTCGCCTTCTTTGGCGACCCCCGAAAAATGGTCGATTGACCCCAAATGGGGTTGCGATCCATAGGTTGAGAACCGCTGCACTAAATGAATGGGTGTAAGCTGAGGGCTGTGTGTAGTTTTCACACACCTCTCACTCTTTTGCCTTCAAAATATTCAAATGGCATAATGTCATTCTCAGCCTGGGGAAGCAAAGAAGGGAACAAAATGGAAAGTGATATGAGACGAGAATGAGAGAAGATATCTTGCCATCCTGGTGAAAATGCATGAGGCAGGAACTTCAGGCTCAGCAATATTGCCAAAGCATCTGGTAAGAGTCGATTGAAGCTCGTTCACTTAAAGAAAATGGGATTCCCAATCAAGATGAAGCAATCTCTCCACTGACCAAGCGAGAATCTTCTCTAGCTAGCTTCTTCCAGAAACTCAGAGTGGGGAAAGGATAGACTAGAACAGTTGGCTTCTTTATACAAAAAGAGAACTTTTTATTTTTTCCTTTCATCTATGCCAGCGGTTCTCAACATTTGTGTGACGGCGACCCCCGTCACACAAACATGCGCATGCGCGGCGCGGCGCACATGGGGCGGCCCCCATGCGTGGCGCACACGTGGGCGCCCCCACGCGCGACGCGCATGCACGCACCCCATGCGCGGCGCGCATGCGCGATGCCCATGCATGGCGTGCATGCGCAGCAGCCCATGCGTGGCGTGCGTGCACAGCGGCGGCCCATGCACGGTGCGCATGCGCGGCGGCGGCCCCATGTGCGGCGCCCATGCGCGGCGGCGGCCCCAGGGGGGGAAATGGCAGATCACCGCCTTTGGCGACCCCCGAAAAATGGTCGATCGACCCCAAATGGGGTCGCGACCCATAGGTTGAGAACCGCTGATCTATGCAATGAATTGAGGAAATTGAGAAAAGAAATCAGATTCATCAGAATTCATAGATAAGTCATTGATTATAAATCTCGGTCTTTTTTGGGGACCCCCCAACAAATCCCTTGTGAGTATCTCAAAGTTCAAGACCACAACTTGGTTGCTTCTGTCCTTGGCCAATACTTGCTAATAAATTGACAGTTTATTGCTAACAAAACAGTTTCAATCAGTTTTATTTCATGCATAGCAGTCTATAAAATGTTCCAGATGGCCTTTTTGCAAGAGAACTACAGTTTACGTCTAGACTCATTTCACCCGACGTGGAGTTGGGGAAAAAGTCATCCTCTTGGGCTTCAATATATGCTTTAGATTTTAGACATCTGGAAGAAAATTCTCCAGTACAAAATGGCTGCTTTGCAGCTGCTGCCATCCAGAAATATTCAGACCAATCATTGGGACCTACGGCCTGAAAGAGTCAGACAGATTAACTGAAGCAAGGGAGAATTGGAGCACATGCAGCAGAGCAAGATATAATGAGCACTGAAGATGGAAATCTGCATTGCCTTTTATGAGAACATTGCCTTTCAGTGCAGAGAAGCAGACTCTTGATTGTCTCACAGGGGAACAAGATTCCCTTCCCAGTTCACAAATGTGCCAGTATTTTTCTCAGAGAGACGGCCAAGGGTGTTCAGAATAGCTTGCAAACTCTGCTCCATTGTCAGTGGGGGTGTTCCCTGGAAAAAGAATAGGCAAGGGATGAAAGATGTTGATAGTGAAAATAGCCTAAAGGCCTAGTAAGATCAACTGAGAGAATTCAAGGCAGTGGTTTAATATGGTATATTTCCAAGTTGTATCAGCAATAAAATATTACTAGATAAGAAATTATATCAAAGAACAAGTCTTGATGAAGTGAAACCAGAGTAGGTTTTGGAAAGGAGAGTCCTGTTTAATTTTTCAAAATTATCACAAAATTATTTAACAGGTATGCTTTTATGTCAACTTCATAATTAACAGAACTATTCATGACCCAACTGAGTTGCCTTGTTCGTGAGAGGGGCAGCATATAAATCTAATGTATAAATAAATTGGCCCATTTTGAAGGAATTGGCCACTGTATCATAAAGAACCACTTAAAGGAGTTGAAGAGACTCAATTTCACATGACTGATTTTTGGTTCAGGTTTCTACCCATTTCCTGACAGGAATGATATATTCTGTATACAATGAATACAGTGGTACCTTGGTACTCAACTGCTTTGAAACTGATCGAATTTGATTCTCAAATGCATTTTGAGATGAAAATTTTGTCCTGGTACTCATTGTTTGTTTGGTACTCATTGTACAAATTAGAACTTGTCAGTGTTTGCTGTCTTGTGACTCACTACATTATTCCTTGTGGAAAAAATTTGTTTGGTACTCATCATTTTTGACATTCATCATGCCTCCTGGAACCAATTAAGGATGTGTAATTTAAAAAAACCCTATCCAATAGCAGCTAACATAAATTCACTGATAGTGATGTCGAAAGTTGATCCAGAAATGTAATATTCTGGTGATCACAGAAATGTTCAGATTCCTTCAGGACCATATTGAACCTCTTCTGAGACCACAAGATTCCAGGGGCCATCTGGCTGTTTCTAGAATTCGAATCTATCAAAGGGAAAGTGTTTCATGGCATTTGGTACATATTATTTCAGACACAGACTGAGTTAAAATAAGACTATCTCAAGAAAAACTCAAGCACTACTTCCTGAAATTGTTTAGACAAAATTAATTCCAAAAACTGCTGGACCATTCCTGGAATGGCAAGATCCAGGAAATGATTCAGCATAATCTGGAGGTTTTTTGGAACGTTCCATTTCTAGTAGAGATGTTTATTTTGATTGTATAAAATTCAGGTGTTGTTTTTTTCCTCCAATTCGCTTACCATTAAATTTCCCATGTCAGTCTGTACCCATCCAGGATGCAACGCAACACACAAAATCTCATCTTTGGCAAGATGCAAGGACTGGCATTTAGAGAGCATATTCAGAGCACACTGTGAGGAAGAGAGGAAGGGGAAGATAAATGAATGCTTCATCTAAGTTCTCAAGGATGCCAGACCATTCAAATGTGCTCTTCTCCTCCTACTTGTGATAAAAACAGAATTGACTTTTACATTCTTGGGTCATGAGTTCATCTGTACCTTACTACAGCGATAAGCAATGACGTGGCCCCGCTGCCATTCAAGGACACTTGTAATGGAACCTGCTTCACTGGAAATGTTGACGATGGCCGCTTTGCTGCAGCTCATGCCTTTCAGGGGACTTTCTTGAGCTGCCTTCCTCAGCAAAGGAATGAACCCCTTGAGGATGAAAGGAACAAAATGAAATTCAGTGGTGAAAAAAGTAAGGTTCTACATTTAGGCAAGAAAAACCAAACGTACAGGTATAGTATAGGTGGTACCTTGCTCAATAGTAGTAACTGTGAGAGGGATCTTGGAGTCCTAGTGGACAATCACTTAAATATGAGCCAGCCGTGTGCTGCAGCTGCCCAAAAGGCCAACACAGTGCTAGGCTGCATTAACAAGAGGGATAGAATCAAGATCACGTGAAGTGTTAATACCACTTTACAATGCCTTGGTAAGGCCACACTTGGAATACTGCATCCAGTTTTGGTCACCAAGATGTAAAAAAGATGTTGAGACTCTAGAAAGAGTACAGAGAAGAGCAACAAAGATGATTAGGGGACTGGAGGCTAAAACATATAAGGAACGGCTGCTGGAATTGGGTATGTCTAGCTTAACAAAGAGAAGGATGAGGGGGGACAGGATAGTAGTGTTCCAGTATCTCAGGGGCTGCCACAAAGAAGAGGGAGTCAAGCTATTCTCCAAAGCGCCTGAAGGCAGGACTAGAAGCAACAGGTGGAAACTAATCAAGGAGAGAAGCAACCTAGAACTAAGGAGAAACTTCCTGACAGTGAGAACAATTAACCAGTGGAACAATCTGCCTCCAGAAGCAGTGAATGCTCCAACACTGGAAGTTTTTAAGAATAGACTGGACAGCCATTTGTCCAAAATGGTATAGGGTTTTCTGCCTGAGCAGGGGGTTGGACTAGATGACCTCCAAGGCCCCTTCCAACTTTATCATCATCATCATTATTATTAGAAGGGCACTCAAACCTTCTGCAAGGAGAGTTGAGACATCTCCCAATCAATATAAATCCCCCCTAAAGACCCCAAAGATTTGGCAATAACTTACAAGAAGATGTCAGAATTGTCCTGTAGCCTAACTAAATGGAACAAATTTAACATCCCTCTTTCAATCAACATAATTTTTCCATCTTATACAGTATCCATAGTCTATCATACTCTGAGCAGCTACTGGGAAATTTTTTTATTGAGGTCCTGGTATCCTATTCTTCAAGGAGTTCAGGGAGCTCAGGATTCATTCTTAAAACCATGAATCTGGGGGGAGGGAGGTTGGGAAGAGAGGGAGGGAGCGGACCAAAGTCCCTCAGGGAGTTCCCTGGAGAAAGTCCAGATGTATATTCTTGCTTTGACATAATATGCAAAACTGTCTGGTGTTTTGAGAGTTAATGCAGAGCAGAGGAGGGAGGGGGGAAAAGCCCGGGAAACAAAAAGGAAGTGAATCTTTGTCCTCCAAGTTAATTGGAAGATTTGAGTCATGACCCCAAAAGAGGGGAGGGGAAATGCCTGGAACGTTGTGTGCAAAGGGAAGGGAAATTCAGATCTTGGCATACCTTCATTATGCCGTGCCGACATTTTGTAACAGAAATAAAGGCTTTTAGGAAAATCAATGCCTGGAAGTTCTTTGAAGTGTTTCATTAGCCAGAACCATAATACCAGCATCAGCCTGGAATTCCTTAGTCCAGAAAAAAATCCAAACATCCAAAACCTGTTGTCTGCAATAACGGCCTCTAAATATTCTTTCAAATCAGAGAGGAAAGGAGCACAAAGTTCCCTTACCTGGACGACTATCATGGGCCCAATCACGTTGATTCTGTAGGTGTTAGCCATGCTCTCTGGTGTTTCAGTCTCCAGGCTGGTAATATTTATAATCCCTGCATTATTAATCAAGAGGTTCAATCCAGCCCCTTTTAGGCATTCTGTAACTTTGGCTGCAGCAGCCTTGACGCTGGATGGATCATCCACGTCTGCAGGAAAAAAGAAATGTATAGTGCAGTACTGCAGGCCACTTTAGCTGACTATGTTCAGCAGGTCAGCGGTTCAAATCTCACCGGCTCAAGGTTGACTCAGCCTTCCATCCTTCCGGGGTAGGTAAAATGAGGACCCAGATTGTTGGGGGCAATGTAAATATATATTCATTGCTTACTGGTGTACACCGCTTAGAGAGTGCTTGCACTTAAAGCGGTATATAAGTCTCATAAATAAATAAATAAATTGCACAGTTGTCCAATAAATATACTTGTATTTTGTTGATTCTGCTCTTTCTATTTTCTCACCTACTTTATAATACGATGACTTTCCTGAAGAAACAGGTGTGAGTAGTCTCAAGATTGCAGAGTTTTGTCATCTACTTATGCTTTTGAAACATGTTGGTATTCTTCACGAAGCCAATAAGCTTAAGACAGTATGGTCAGTTCATACATTTTATTGAACTATAGATAGGATAAATCTTTGACCTGAAGCCATAATTTACTGAAATCATGCCCCCCTCTTCCTCTGAAACAGCATGTATGAAAACAGCATGATTGATAGGGTTTCTGTGTTGCGTTCCTGTATCTGTTCATGTTTGTAAATCTGGTTTACAGCTTGGTACATCATGCACACCTATTAAATTGTAATTCCCCTAAGTAGGTGTTACAGAAATGTTGTTCAACCAGTTATGTGACTTAGATGGGACTGAATGGCTGAAAAACAACAATTCCAACTATATATTAGTAAAACGTTGCATCTAGTATCCTCTTTAAGCCAAATGCTGATTGGAGCAGCTAGGTGGATTATCACCCTTATTGGATATGCAAACTTCTAAATTTACTGTGAGCTTTGGGTGGGAGTTCCTCCCAATAATACCCCAAAATTTACTGCTAATACTATATATAAATTTGACAGAAGTAGAAGAGAAAGTACAAAACGCCATCAGTTATTGCACGGATATTGACCTTCCAATACATCTGCCCAGCAGAATGCTTGTTTCTTTGATAGCAGATCCAGCTGTTTTTGGAATTCTGCCTAAACCATATAAACTACCGATTGTAATGCAAAGCAATGTTTATGTCAAGACTGCTAACATCGGATGTTCTTGCTTGCCATATATGAAGAAGCAAACCTGTTTTATTTAGCCTGTATAGCACTTCTAGAGTTAAGGCAGATAGTAGTAGTCTAGAGGATGGGAAAGTATGCAAGTTAACCATAACAATGTCTGAGCACAGTGTGGCCAAGGTCAGCCCAGCTGCAACGGGAGGGACACCTCACACTTCACATTAATTGGAGAATGTGATTGATGACTGTAAAATGAAGGAGTGAGTTATGCTTTGTTATGGATGCTTGGGGGAGGGAGGATTCAGTTTCTGGCTTAACTTTGTTAGTGCCGAAGCTATGCAGAATAATAAAAGATTCTTTTAGAGGAATAAGCCTCAAAGTTCTTTGAAAATCTGTTTCTTTCGGAACCATGTCAGTTTATCTGCTCTGATGTGGGTGTGTGGAACTAATGCTTACTTGGCATGATCTACCCTGTTGCTGAATTTCAGTTGTTTTCCCTCTCAGCTAAAGCAAAACCAGAGGTATTTTCAGGACACATACCCAATGCCATGATGACAATTTGTGGGTGTTTAGCAGCCAAATTCTTCAGGTCCTGAAAGGAAAAAAAACCCCAAATTTAGTGCCTTTCCCTTTATAAAAAATACGTTTCCAATACAACTTTTTTTTCATGTCCTAGTAGATCTTTTCCATGTGCAAAATCTGGAGGGAAGTCATTGAGGAGAGAGGAAATTGCTGGAAAGAAGCTTAGAGGTGGGCAAATAGGCAGCAAATTTCATATTACAATAGTTTTCTATCCCTTTCAGGATTTTTTTTTTTTTAATTGTGAAAAGCTTGTGCAACCCAACGCTACCACGGACTCCAAAAGAGACTTAGCAAAGTCTCTTTTCTTCTTTCTGAAGAAAATATGAGAAATGCTAGATGAGACCACACGAAATATAAAATGTGTGGAGAAACATCAGTAAGTTCATGCTAATGATAGCCCTTTATTTGCTGGAAGCCAGGAAGACTTAAGGAATAAAGTTGATCTGATGCTTAGAAGATTTGAAGGCAACTGTGGAAGAGCTGAGGGAGCAACTAATACCACTGGTGATATACTAGTATGAGCTTACAAGACCTCATGGACGCTCCTCCTGACAGGCAGTTCTGGTAAAGAGTGCCCATTGTGTCCCAAAGGCATACTCAGAAGCGAGTGAGGAACTGAAAAAACTACAAGCCTTTTTCCGGGGAGTTCAGGGGTAGCACGAGCCTTCTAAGTTGGTCCTGGACAAAAAGTTCTCATGCTGAAGCAGCACATTTTGCAAATGGCTTATTTGAAATGGGATAAGAATTAAAAACAAAACGTGATGAAGTTCCACATGTGCTCTTAGGATTTACAAATACTGCAACCATTGCAAGTATCTTCCAATCAATTGATTGGAGAAATTAAGCTCACCATCATTCATCTCTCCCTAATTGTGCAAAGAGAAGCATTGTTAAAACGTTTAGATATAACCATTTAACAAACTCTTATATTTCTTTTTGTCTATCGTGTCTAACCCAATCATGCATCGCTACCAAGGAGATAAGTGAATTTCCGTTAAAGAAAAAAAAATCTTTGTTCTTCCCACATAAAGCTGAAGATACCCCAGGCCTCACCTGAGCACGGGGTCCAGCCGGGTCCCGGCAAGTGGCAAAGATCCATTTTGGGGGGTTGCTCTTCTTTGCCAGCTGCCTGACCAGCTCCAAGCCAAGTCCCCGATTGGAGCCGGTCACCAGAACGCTGTGTGGATTCAGTTGCTCCATCTCTCGTTGACAGCCCAGACTGGCTAAGAAATTGCTTCCTGCACTTCCTTAAATATTGTTGCAGATGACGTCATCCACCTGCAAACAATATTTCTGAAGAAAACCAGGAAGGAGGAATTTGGCAAACATCACCCGGGTTTTGTCCTATCTTGCTGCAGGTTTCTTTCTCTTGTCCCTATTCTATGCAGCTGTTTCTCTTTTGTTTGTTCAGTGGGAATGTTTTTATTTAAAACGTATCTTCTTTGTTTTCTGCCCTGAATAAAAGTTCTTAAAGCAATTAAATCCATCAGACACAAGATGGTTTTAGCCTGAAAATCTGAATGTTCAATGCTTTGGAGATTAAAATAACGAAGAGAAGGACAAGAGGGGACATGATAGCAGCATTCCAATATCTCAGGGATTGCCACAAAGAAGAGGGAGTCAAGCTATTTTCCAAAGGCCCTGAAGGCAGGACAAGAAGCAACAGGTGGAAACTAATCAAGAAGAGAAGCAACATAGAACTAAAGAGAAATTTTCTGACAGTGAGAACGATTAACCAGTGGAACAACCTGCCTCCAGAAGCGGTGAATGCTCCAACACTGGAAGTTGTTAAGAAGAGACTGGACAGCCATTTGTCCGAAATGGTGTAGGGTTTCCTGCCTGAGCACGGGGTGGACTAGATGACTTCCAAGGTCCCTTCCAACTTTATTATTATTATTATTATTATTATTATTATTATTATTATTACTACTACTACATGATTCTCAGATACAGATAGGTAATTTGGAAGGTATTTTTTGAAAGCCTCCTTTTTGACATCCCTGTGAAATGGACTTATACTTCAGTGAAGAAAGATATATCTTGCCCTCCTATTAAAAAGAGGGGCTGCCTAGTCAAGTGAGAAAAAAGGCAAAAAAGCTGTTTCTTAATATAACCCCTCCTTTCAAATCTTGCTTTCATTGGTTGGAATAGAAAGAAGTTCTGGAGTTGAGACCCAAGAAATACTTCCATACTAATTCCATAGAGTGTCCCATTTCTCATCTCCTTTTTCTGCAGGACTCTGATGAAAGAGTTGCAACCAGAAGAGAAATAATGAAGGATGGGACCTCTATTAACCATTAACACTAAAATTTGCTTTGACTCTTAGGAGAAGAATTGGTATATATGTTTGGCAGTAGACAACAAAGAATTTCTCAGGAAACAAACAAGTATGAATGTAAGCTCTTTTGCAAAGTTTTATAAATTTTTTTATTTCATATTTATTCATCACATTTCCATTATTTTTAAACTGAAGAAGGATGATTAAGTTCATAAAAGATGTCCTATAATGAAAGCATTGAAAAATGTTTTCATTACCAATCATTAGAAATATGATTTACTTACTGGCTTACATGAAATGTTTATGTCTCACTCGTCTTTTGTAAGCATAATAATAATGTATTGGATTACAACATAATAAAACAGATATCAGGAATTAACATTTAGCTGCTATATCTTGGATTCTCACCTTTAAGCGAATTTAACAAGTGACCCAATTATTTCCAAGCAGCAATAATATTCTGGAAATTGCCAGAATCACCATAACATAATGTCTTTAGTTGTATTCTAGAAGGTGGCTCCGGTAGACACCATACTTGATGTTCTCAAACTTATTATCATTTGATAAGCAGGCAGTCACCCTAAAGGAGCATTCTTCTTCTGCCTCTTCATAGTGCCTTAGGAAAGCCCAAAAAGAGGTATACAGCAGCACTCCTCTAAACCAAGGATGATTAAGGCTAGGTGAAAATTAAAACAATATTTTTGAAAGATTATCTGCATCCAAATTGCCTGGACATGTTTTCTTCAGTATGCCAATGTTCCCATAGGCACATGTAGGGTGGTTCTTGCTTCACCTCTTCTAGAAGCTCAAAAGATAGATCAATTCAGTCATTCTATGAGCAGGTATAGAAACATAGAACTCGAGCCAATTGTGCATTTATATTTGGAAGGCCATGTCTGGACTTGTGAGTCTTGTGTAATTTTACATCAAGAGTTTTATGAACGTGAAAGCTCTCAGTGGCCGGCAATCTCTGTCCGATACACTTCTTTATCAATGAAGAAAAAGGTTGCTCTGTGCAACCTCATAGAATCTGTGTAACGCTGCTAACAATGGATGTTCTTGCTTGACAATAGATGGAAATGTAGCTATTTTTTCTCTATCGCTTTTAGAGTTCGTTGATGCTGGGAGAGGGAATGTGGATGAAAGTCCAGCTAGTCATAATAATAATAACTCAGCCGTGGGAACCCAAGGTTATTAGGTCCAGAGTTGATAGAGATTTGGGGGCTGGAGAGCTGGGGAGAAAGCCTGTGCTTCAAGTTAATTGGGGAATATGATTTATGACTGTTAATTGGAGGAAGGAATTGTGCTTTGCTACTTTGTGGCAGGAGAGGAGAATTCAATTTTTTGGCTTCAGCTATGTAGTGCCGACACTTTGTTTCTCAAATAAAAGATTCTTTAAGGAAAACAATGCCTCAAAGTTCTTTAGAAGAGATTCATCTGTTGGAACCATGACAATCTGCATGAATGTAAATGAATAACAAATACCCCCAAGTATGTAATTAGCATCATGTTAATTAAAACAGTTTTTGTTATCTAGATGTTCTCCTCCTTTAGTATGTTACAAAATAGGAATTAGTTCTTTGCAAGAAAGGTAGATACCAAAAAATATATGTTGGATAACTTTTGCTCTAAGCTAAGGTGACTATTTTGCAGAAAGAAACAGAATTGATTAATTACATTTGTCAATAGAGTATTAGATGGCATTTCTGTACCCAAACAAAAAAATCTTTAAGGAACTAATTGCTTAGAATACATTAAAGCAGGGGTGCCAAACTGCCGGCCCGTGGGCCGGACACGTCATGAGGAAATTGCGCCCACCCCATTGCTGGCAATGGAAAAGTTCCGATATGTCGCACAATGTCATGTTTAATATGTCTGCTTAAAGGTTTATTATATTGCATTGAAAATTGATACAGAAATGGCTGTCTTTTTATAGAATTTTTTGAACAGACTGTAGCTTTTGCATCAAAAGAGCAGGTCAGCAGGACAGCAAAGATGCTGTCAAATTTGAAACCATCTTTAGGTTGTAGCCCCGCTAGCTCACTCCAGCCAACTCTCTGCCCTAAGACTTCACTCCGACATTTGTACTCTTTCCCAGAATATTATTCCCAATCGCAATTAAGTCAGGAATTTTGCATCAGTGTGGTTTAGATTCCAGAGGTCTGGAAAATAATTATCTTCACATTGCAAGACAGAAGTGGATACTTTTGCAGACTTTTGCCTAGATACCTGGAAGTAATGTGGAATAATAAACAATCACTAGAATAATGATGTGTCTGCATAATTACTGGAATAATGCTGTGTTAGTAGTATGTGACTAACTAATGCACATTGCACTTGGATACAATGTATGTAGCAAACTCTCTTCATTGTGAGAAACAAACCTAATGTATTACAATATGTATTTCAATGTGTATTCCTTTGTTTCTGAGAAAAGGAATGTATAAAACTGAAGTCTGAACCCGCCCTCGGGGATCAGAATTGCTAGTTGCTACTGCTTCTGAACCTGCGCAATAAATCTCTCTGCTAAAACCCCCTGGAATTCGTAAGAGTCCTTTTGTTTTCCGCAAGAGAAGTATCTAAACAGATCAGATCAGATCAAACAGGGCCTGAAAGATCCTGACTGAGCAAGCCACCAGACAGAGTAACAAAAGAGAGTTGGAGCACATGCGGCAGACTGGGATATAGTGTGCACTGAAGACAGAAAGTTGCAGATTCCTGGTTGTCTCACCAGGGAATAAGATTCCCTTCCCAGTTCACAAAAGTGCCATTATCTTTCTCAGAGAGACTGCGGAGGGTGTTCAGAACAGCTTGCAAACTCTGTTCCATTGTCAGTGGGGGTGATCCCTGGAAAAAAAGAACAGGCAAAGGATAAAACAAGTTCATAGTGGAAAAGAAAGTCTAAAAGCCTAGGTGAATCATCAAGCGACAGTGAATTCCTTAACACAAGGGTCCCCAATCCCTGATCTGTGGTCTGGGGCATGCTGCGCAAACAAGTGAAGCCCCATCCACGTGAATTCCCTAACAGCCAAGAAAATCAGTCCTGAATGAGATTCTATCTGGATTCCATTCTCCAGCTGCTGATAGGAAACCTAGTTGTAGAAGGAGATCTGGGAAGGATCCAGGAAAATTCAAACTAGTTTAATACATTATGCATCGAACCTTTATTTGCAAGAAAACATGATAAAAAATGAAATTATACCAAAGGACAAGTGCTGCTGAAGAAGAACCAGGACAGGTATGAGAAAGAGAGTCCTGCTTCGCTAACTTTGGAGAGTGGCTAATTCTAATGCAGTGGTTCTCATCCTTTTTAATGCCGCGACCCCCCAACTGGTCGTAAGTCGAGGACTACTCAACCGGTCGTAAGTCGAGGACTACTCAACTGGTGCAGCACCGTTTGCAGAATGGGACTTTTGGCGGGCTCAGCAGGGCAGAGACAGCCTGGACAATTCCTATTGGCTTCTGAAAGCCAATAGAATTAGACTCTATTCAAGAGAGTCTATTCTATTGGCTTTCAAAAGCCAATAGAATAAGAGGGAGTAGCACAGCTAAGGAAAAGGGGGGGGGGGGAATGGCGGACTGCGTTGTTTGGCGACCCCCGTGAAATGGTCGTTTGACCCCAAATGGGGTCCCGACCCACAGGTTGAGAACCACTGATCTAATGGAATATATGAATGTTCTTGAGGTAAAAGGGGAAGAGATGCTGCCTATGAAATAATTAGAGGAGCCCCCCGGAGCTTAACGGTCGAAGAGACAGGAAAAAAAGACCTTCCCTAATGGATCAAGCAGTAAAAAGTGGTTGTTGGAAGCTTGTACCTTCCCACTTGCAAGGCTCTGTTAATGTGGCCTTACAATAAAGTAGACTTAGTTCATCTAATCCTGTTTCCACTCAGGTTTACTTGGGAGGACTCACTCACCAGCCACACATTAAGAGTTTTACTTGCATGTCATTTTGTTACCGGAATCACTCTTGATTTTAATGACTAATGGAAAACGATATCAATCTGCATCTTCCATCAATTCTTTATGGCAACTGCGCATTAAAATTCTTTATCTAGAAGCCGATTTAATTTTCAGCATGCAGCAAACCTCCTTGCTTTAACTCCAATGTTAGCTGAGATGATAGGATTGTTAGGGTTTTGCAGAATTGTTGATCCGGGCATGGAATATTCTGAAGAATTCTGAAATATTTCCTTTGGGGCCATGACGTTACTGGGATGGTTGAGTGGTTTCCCAGGAAATTAATTTTCCAAAAGGTTCAGAGTGTTTCACACACAGTGTTCCAATGAAGCAGGCTTCTTTGTGGTCTGAAGTACCCCCGGAAGCCTTATGAATGCTTTCCAATTCAGAGATTTATTTCTAAAACCTACCAAACAATCCCCAGGAGAAACAGCAGGTAGGGCGTCATCCAGTGGGAACAAAGGATTTCAGAAGTCTTCATAAGGTTCCACTCCTAATCCAATTAATCTTGCCCACACTAGCTTTTTGGCTATTATATGAAAGTTGTTTTTTCTGCAATTCACTTACCAGTTTGTTTCCCATGTCAGTCTCCACCCACCCAGGGTGCAATGTGATGCACAGAATCTCATCTTTGGCAAAGTGCATGGACTGGCATCGAGTGAGCATGTTCAGAGCAGACTGGGTAGGAGACACAGAAAAAGAGAAAATAAATGAATGGCTCATCTGAGTGCTCAGGGATGCCAGGCCCTTCACAGGTAGCTTCTGTAGCTGAAGGTCTGGCTGGGGCAAGATGTTGAACACCCCCCCCCTAAAAGCCTGCAGAAGATAAGAACATTAAAGACATGCTATCATCTCCTCCCACTCGCTTCTCCCAGGTATGACGCAGTGGGGTTGGACTCGATGACCTCCAAGGTCCCTTCCAACTGTATTATTATTATGGATCATCGCACAGTCAGCCAGATGTTCAGACTGGATTTGGCATTTTGTCTACCTATCGAGTCCTTACCCAGGACCTGGGATAGGCAGATGTGGATGTTTGATGGTATTACAGGTATCGTCGCAGGATGGAAGCAGTTCCTAATAAGGCCGCCTTTTGCAATTGACTAATAGCGAATTTGTCAATGCCAATGGTGTTCAAGTGGTGCTCCAGTTGTTTTGGGATTGCACCTAAGGAGCCTATTACTATTGGTACTACCCTTGCTTGCTTTTGCCACATTATTATTATTATTATTATTATTATTATTATTATTATTATTATTATTATTTCTTTTCCTCCCTCAATCCTGTCAGCAGGGATTCCATATTGGTTGACAGAAGGAGCAGAATGTCTGTTCAGAACCTTAGGTGAGCCCACTAGGTACACATTCTTGGTCTATATTTGGTGAAAGGTGTTGTGCAAGGAAAGCTTATGATTCCCTCTAAGCTCACATTTGATAGTACACCTGGAAGTATTTTCAGCACCACCAAAAGCCTGCTTATTGGCATCTCCTCCTTCGCAGAGCAGAGGGAAGGAAGGAAGGAAGGAAGGAAGGAAGGAAGGAAGGAAGGAAGGAAGGAAGGAAGGAAGGAAGGAAGGAAGGAAGGAAGGAAGGAAGGGAATTTTCACACTTGTAAGCTATGACAGTTTATAGAAAATTTCTAATATTTTGCTTTTATCTTGACAGCTGCAGAAAACGTTCTCCTGATCTACTAATAGCAATAGCAATAGTGCTTAGACTGATATACTGCACCACAAGGGAATCAGTCTTGAGCTTACCTAGGCTTTAGTGAGCTGAGTCAGTTGCCTGCTGATTACTTATCATCTATTGGGGAGTGGAAAAGATACTGGCGTGGGAGTGCCCCCCAGTGCTTGATTGCCTAGGTAGGATAAACGGCACCAGGAAAGGATATTTTTTAAAGTCATAGGCCGCCTATCGGTAACTTATTTCTCAGGAAGGGTCCATCATTTTCACACATCTCTTCCTCTGAAAAATGACCAGTCGTTTGTATATCATGAATCGTGAATTAGCAGCATCCAAAGGCTTGGTTTTTACAGACCTTTCCCGTGGATCTGAGAGGCATTTGAAATGAAACTACAGGTAGACCTCGATTTACAACCATTCTTTTACTGACTGTTTGAAGTTACAACAGCACTGAAAAAAAAGGAGCTTATGATTATTTTTCACATGACTGTTGGAGGATCCCTGTGGTCACACGATCAAAATTCGGACACTTGGCAACTGGCATGATTTTATGATGGTCGCAAGGTCCTGGGGTAATGTGATCGTGCGACCCTCTAACACAGGGTCCCCCAACCTTTTGGGCACCAGGGACTAGTTCCATGGAGAGAGGTTTTTCTGTGGATCAGAGGGGGCGTGGTTTCACGTGCTGGCTGCATCCTGCAGGTGGGGCTTTGCTTGTTTGCATGGATTGGTTTCTGGCATGCCGCAAACTGGTGTTGGTCCACGGACTGGGGGTTGGGGACCTCTGCTGGGGAAATCAGATTCACTAAGCAGCCGTGTTACTAATTTAACAGCTTCGGTGGTTCACTTAACAACTGTGGCAAGAAAGGTCATAAAATGGGACAAAGCTCACTTCACAACTGTCTTGCTTAGCAATGAAAATATGTGGGCTCCTTTGTGTTCGTAAGTCGAGGTTAACCTGTAACTGAATGTGAAATTGAAATTCTTACCCTTAAAGCCGATTCCCTCAGCTTGTCCCTACCTTGCTGCAACGATAGGAGATCAACTCATTCAGATTCCAGCCAAAGAGGTTTGTCATGGAGCCACACTCGCTCGTCATGTTGAGGATGGCTGCTTTGCTGCAACTCATGCCTTTCTGGGGACTGTTTTGGGATGCTTTTCTCAGCAAGGGAAGAAATGCCTGAGAAGGGAAGGGAAGGACAAAGCAAATGAAGGGCACCCACTCCCTCTGCAAAGAGGATCTGGGATGGCTCTTAACCAATGAAAATTCATGATGCAAGATCCAAAAGAATCCATCAGCTGATCACCAATAAATATCAGTAGTGTGCCCTAGCCAGATCAAATAGATCCATCCCTCTTTCATTTCTGCTTCAACCAACCCGATCTTTTCACCCTCACTATATCCATTGCCTATTAAATATCTCTTGATTGTGCAACTATGGGACATGTTTTTTATTTCATTTCATGTGTTTATGCCCCGTTTAGGGGCTCATGGTGTAGCCTTTTAATCTCAACTGGGTGAGGTAGTTCCTTGGGGTTGAGGCTGAGTGAGTGGCCCAAAGTCGGTGGACAAAATCTATCATCCACACAGAGTTTTTTTTAGTCCAGAACAAAATCCAAACTATCTAGTATCTATTCTGCAGAACCCTTCCATCCAAATGGCCAATTCCCCCCACATCAGCGGACAATATATTATCTTTACCTGAGTTACGATCATGGGCCCAATAACGTTGGTTTTGTATACCTCCGACATGTTTTCTGCCGTTTCTGTCTCTACGGTGCTCAGCTTTAAAATCCCTGCATTGTTAATCAGCAGGTTCAGTCCAGCCCCTTTGAGATGTTCTGTGACTTTGGCTACAGCAGCCTTAATGCTGCATGGGTCAGTTGTGTCTACAGCAGGAAAAATAAACACACATTATCTCATTATCCCTGGCTTTGTACGCCATACAATGATTCAGTCCTAGTGAATTTACCAGTATTTTGCTGAAATTTTTTAAAAGTGTGATTAGTCTCATTACTGTCAAGAAAGGTGGTTGATTGATCATTTTTGAAATGTTCATTAATGGAAATCCAGTAAGTAATTTAAACAGCTGAGAGGAAACCTTGTAGGAAGCCATGGCTTATTTAAGCCATGTTCTGCTGAGAAACCCACTCCGGTGTGCCAGCTGATCTGGTTTAAGTTAGTGTTGAAGAATACATCCATAAATGATTTATGCAGACTATGGAGATCATATAGAAAGTTGCATTTACTATTATGTCTGATCTCATCTTTTTTCTCCTTTCTTCAATTTTAATGTTACATCATTTAACATTAACATGGACCTCTACATATTATGTTTTTTGTTGGTTTGATGAGATGAAATAACTTTAGAAAGTCCTTTAAAAGATCAGAAGGATGCATCACCTATTTGCTCATGATATTTATCCAATGTTGGAATGTGCCGCGTTTATGCTTGGATATTAACTCTCTGGTGTGTCTACCTAGCAAAATATTTCTTTCATTGTTTATTTTGCCTAAACAATTAATTATATTTATATTGTATAAATTATATTCAACCTTATATGCTGTCCATCCGCTTTCCACAATGTCTTGGGGTGTTTTATAATGCAATTAAACAATTAAAATTACAAGAATTAAGTGGATCAAAAAACAAGGGCTTTGTGCAGAGTTGGGTGGTTCCTTCTTTTGCCACTTTACCAGCCCCCTCCAACAGTGAATTGTAATCTATGTTTGTCTACTTCAATTACCATATATTAGTGCCTGGTATGCATAGTCTAACCTGGTGTTGAAATTCAGCTTCATTCTTTTCCCTCCCAATTCATGAACCAAAAATGGGATTTTTAGTATACACATACCCAGGGGTATTATCACAATTTGCCGATGTTCAGCAGCTAAATTCTTCAGGTCCTGAAAGACAGAAATATTCTTAAACTCTCCCCACTTAATTGTTCCCCACTTAATTGTAGTATTAACCATACTCTGCTAACCTTTTTCCAGTACTGTGTCCATGATTTTGCCTTAACCTCATTCCCAGGTCATGATGAAACGATGGTTAAATATACCTCTAATACTACTACATTACAACAGTATTTCCATTCCTACTGTTCTCAAAAAATTCTCCTATGCAAAATTTCAAGTAAATATTCTTCTCAAGCTCTCCTCTCCAAGTATAGAGCAGCTAATCTTTTGACAAATTTCATTGATCATCCAGTTCTGCAGCAAATCATTCAATTATCACAGCACTTACAAACCTGTGACAAAATAATTTTTGTCAGCTCTGTATCTGAATTCATCTCATTCCTTCTTCCTTTTCCCAGACTTGAAAACACAGGACACTTTTAATGAACTTCCCAATCAGTTGATTGGGAAAATTAGCCTGGCTGCAATTCATCTCTCTCTAATTCAGCAAAAAAGAAAAATAGCATCACGAACTGAAGAAATGTCTCGAACGAGAAGTGAAATGATTTCAGAGGAACAACAACAAAAACAATGACGTCCGGTTGCCTTTTGAAAAGCACCTGTGGGACAACCATGATCTGGATGATGGAGACTCTCCATAGACATCGCAAAAACAGTTCAACTATAGCTAATTTTTATTTAACTTATACAATGTCTTTATCTCCCATCATGCCTAACCCAATCACGTTCCCATCACGACCACCTAGGAGACAAATGGATTGCCTTAAAAGAAAAAATTCTTTGTTCTTCCCACTAAAACTGCAGACACCTCGTGTCTCACCTGAGCACCGGGTCCCACTGGATCCCGGCAAGTGGCAAAGATCCATTGTGGTGGGTTGCTCTTCTCCCCCAGCTGCTTGACCAACTCGAAGCCAAGTCCCCGGTTGGCCCCGGTCACCAGAACACTCTGTGGATTCAGTTGTTCCATCTCTCTTGCCAGCTTAGACCCAACTAACAAACTGCGTTGTGCTCATCCCAGTTAAATCACATCCAGTCCTAGCTGGCCCTAATCTCTCCACCCTGAGTTATGTAAGCTACTTGGCTTCAGTGTCTGGTTCTTTGGACAAGAATGGGGAAAAAAGATCATTGGCCCTCACCCAGAGGCTGTTCTAGTGCCTTTTGTGTGTGAAGGTTTGGGGGTTTCCCCCCCCCCTCGTTTTTGATATTTCCAGTGGTGAATGTTTACTCATCTAAAGGATATTTGCTTTGCTTCCTGCCCTGAAAAAAAACGCTTATAAAAAAGTTGGTAAATTCATAAAAAAACAAAAAACAAATCTGATCTTATTTGAAAAGCTCATGGAACGAAGCCATTGATTAAAGTAATATCTACCTTGCTTTCTCCATAACAGGTTGCACTCTAGGGTTAGATTTAATGCAATAAGATGCTTCTTGATTCACAATAAACAGGGTGTGTGGTTTCTTAATGTTGCATGTCTATTGATCTGACTGTTTGTCTGCCTCCCTACCTGAAAAACCAATGCAACTGCAACAACAACAACAAAAAAGTTGCATGCTGTTTTGTGTAGAAAAGAGTTTAGGAATTCAAACCATGGGCTGTTGGCTGCTCGGCTAACTCTGTGGAGTATCAGGATAACAGAATAACAGAATTGGAAGGAACCTTGGAGGTCTTCTAGTCCAACCCCTTGTTCAAGCAGGAGACCCTACACCATTTCAGACAAATGGCTGTCCAATCTCTTCTTAAAAACCTCCAGCGATGGAGCATGCACAACTTCTGGAGGCAAGAGGTTCCACTGGTTAATTGTTCTCGTTCCTAGTTGCTAGTCTTTTCCCTCCTTCCATTGGATCCTTGTGCAATAGCTACAGTCAGATGTGGATTGATTAGGACAGAGGTCCCCAACCTTTTGGGCACCAGGGACCGGTTACTTGGAGAGAAGTTTTTCCATGGACCGGAGGGTGTGTGGTTTGGTGTGCTGCCTGCATCCCATGGATGGGGCTTTGCTTGTTTGTGTGGCCCAGTTGCTGGCATGCCACAGCCCAGTACTGGTCCACAGACTGGGGGTTGGGTACCCCCGAATTAGGACATCCAGGGACCATTTACACTAACATTTGATAGCATGATTTCACCCTGAAATTGGTGGCACGGTATCACACTGGAATTTAGAAGAAGAATTTAGCACTGATCCTTGCATCAAATAACCAAGTAGATCAGGACATTATCACAATATTTCACAAAGTGTGCAATGTTGCATTTATTATTCATTATTTGATTTTTACTTTGTCTTTCCATCTGGCAAAAATAATCAAGGCACAAAAATAGTACAAAAAGTAAAACGGGACGGGGGGGAGTAGAATGGATGTATTATGAGATGTTTTCATTATGTGTTATACAATCTATTTGGCAAAGAGTCATTTGGGGAATTCCTGTTGCCAAAGAGAGTTGCCAAACTAACACAAACTTTTGAATCTCCAACTTCTTAAGGACAAAACTCGGGGGGGGGGGAACATTTTGGGTTGCTCACAATTGACTTTGACTTCTCATGATTAAATAAATTCAGTTCTTTCTTTCTTTATAATATTCATACATTGTCAACTCTCAAGTGCACAGAATTAAAAATACATTTTGACGATAATAAAGTCATAAACACAACACTGCAGGGACTACAACTAATTTGGCTGCTCATCGTAAGCTTTTGAATGTCTAAATTAATAGAAGCAATTTTTGCCTAAATCACAGCAAGTCTAGGGGAAAAAAAACCAACAACAATGCTGCTATCAAAAGCCTTTCATCTTGGTTGTCAGAAATGGATTCTTCACGTAAAGTCGGATTTAAAAAAAATCCATCTATTTAACAATGTTTGTCATCTCCCTGCAGAAATATGGTTATCTAAGAATGCCCTGCAGAAATACGGTTATCTAGGAATCTGTCACGCTTCAGAATTATTTTGAAACAGACTGAGATGGACCCAGTGGTGGGATTCAAATATGTGAACAACCGGTTCTCTATGCGGATGCCACTTCCAGAAGTCCGTTATGGGCCTGGGCAACAAAAAAATTAGCTACCGGTTCTGCCAAAGTGGTGCGAACCGGCCGAATCCCACCACTGGTGGGATGTGGTGGGGAGGTGGGCCTCTGGAAAGGAGGGCAATGCAACGGAGAGGAGTAAGAAGCAACTTAGCCCTTGTGTAAGAGAAAGAGGGAGAAAACAGACCCTACTTAATATAGTTCACATAGTATATTGTAGATGCAGGCAGTAGAGTCTTCAATCTGACAGCATTTTGTTCTACAGGTGTGAAACAATAAAGAACTCAGCTTGGAAAAATGGCCACCCATCATTCTTACCTTTGGGCCTGACAGCTAACAAGAATCTGAACATGAGTGAATAATGTGATACAAGAGAAAGAATGTCTAACAAGCCATTCAGGTGAGTGTCTGTAAACTAAATAGTCCGTAAACTCATTTCTTCTGGGGAGAAAAGTCACACTGAGTAAGGAGAAAGTATGTATAGGTCTCTAAAGCAGTGGGTTTTTTTTACCTTGGGTACTTGAAGAGGTATGGCCTTCAACTCCCAGAATTCCCCAGCCAGCAAGAATTCTGGGAGTTGAAGGCCACACCTCTTCAAGTACCCAAGGTAGAGAAACATTGATCTAAAGGATGAAAAGAAATCTAGAAAAAGTACTGATGTGACCTAGACCAGGGGTGTCAAACTGCCAGCCGGATGTGCCATGCGGAAGCCGTGCCCACCTCAGCTCTGGCAAAGGGGAAAGAGTTGCTATAGGTCACGACACATCACGTGACATGGCGAGTTTGACACCCCTCACCTAGACTAAGTGGTCAAGCTGTCAGGAAAGTTTATCTGCTTACTGGCATCAGAGGTGACCATCTCCTCAAATGATTGCAGCCAGAAGAATGAAGAAAGCTCCAGCCTTGTAAACTCAAGAGTTAAATTGGATCTTAAAAGTGATAGCATTCAATTGTTGAATTTTGTGTAATCTTATCTTTTGTTCCTCCATTAATAAATCTGATTAGAGAAGTTTCTGTAAGTATAGCTGTCAAGAACTTGACATGTGGTTTTGGCAGCTTTGAACATGAATGTACTTTGCTTCACCTGAATAACAGTTTTCAACTAGTCTTGCCAAAAATGCAAAACATTTTGTGATCAGGGAAGCTATCTATATCAGTTACTTTGCAAGAGCACTTATGTAAGTTGATCGTATCTGGGCTTTAAAGGCTACATGATCACTAGATGGCAGCAGAGGGAATGGTTCAGAATCTCTTTGCTGCCAGCTTGTGGTTGTCTAGATTTTTGCAGCCCAGATATCAGCCTAATTCATAACATGCTCATAAATTTCCAAATGTGCCCAGCGACCTAAACACAATGAGTACAGTATACCCATCTCAGAGGTTTTTTGGCAGTAATACCAAAAATGTGACAATTTATATTTTATCTTGTTATTATGTAAGCTCAACCTCCAGAAGGCAACACAGAAAATAACACAACTGATTCATGATTAACACATTAAACTGTCCAATTAAAGACAGGAAACACATCCTGAAACTATTGCACAAAATGATTTTGTGTCCAGCACTCCGACATCTGGTTCAAACCAAAGATACCAAGTCATCTCTTTGGTATATTTTCCAGAGAATGTTTTTTTCTAAATGTTTTATTTTTGGTTACGTCAAGCTGGCATCCTTTTGATTAGATAAATCTCCACGCACTTTCAATTAATATCCTTCGGTGGCATAATGTGGCATTATGTGATCTTCCAGTTTCGTCTACTCAGGATGTATAAGTGATTGCTTATCTTCTCCCTGAAAAGGCATTTTGAAACATAAAACTTTTCTTGCCCAACCTTGAATTTGTAAAGGGAATATCCGTGTGAAAGAACACATTACACAACTGTAAAATAAAGCCTCCCCCCCCCAGACTTCCAATGAAGTTGGGCCCACGGCACCCGAAGCTTCTAAAGTCTTTACCTGGCCCAAAAGATTAACAATAATCATAAGTAAGTTTCATAGAAAAGAATGAATTAAGCTAGTCCTCGACTTACAACAGTTCATTTAGTGACCACTGAAAATTACAATGGCACTGACAAAGGGACTTATGGCTGTTTTTCATACTTACGACTGTTGTAGCATCTCCATGGTCACATGATCAAAATTCAGACGCTGGGAAACTGACTCATATTTATGACGTGTCCCGGAGTCACGTGATCAGCTTTTCCAACTTTCTGATGAGCAAAGTCAAGGGTGAAGCCAGATTCACTTAACAACCGTGTTACTCACTTAACAACAGCAGTGGTTCACTTAACAGCTGTGGCAAGAAAGGTCATAAAACGGGGCAAAACCCACTTAACAACTGACTCGTTTAGCAGCGGAAATGTTGGGCTCAATTGTTGTAAGTCACACAAGTTACTTTGGGGGAAATATCCCAATCTATGTCCTTTGGGTAATACCGTAAGTCCCGTTGTTCTCATCCTGTTGTTCTCATCCGGACAATTATGATGGTTGGATTTGAAAGCAACTGCTTCTTGAATGTGAACAACAATATGTGTAATAGCATTGTAAAAAGTGTGCTTAGAATGTTTACAACCAATAGGCAATTAACATACCCAATAGCTGCCTTTCAACTTTGGTTGTTAACAACTGCACCTATTGTTAAGCAATTATATCAAAAATTCAGAGAAGAGCAACTAAGATGATCAAAGGCCTGGAGACTAAAACATATGAAGAACAGCTGCAGGACTTGAGTCTGACTAGTCTAAAGAAAAGAAGACATAGGGGAGACATGATAGCAGTATTCCAGTACTTGAGGAGCTGCCATAAAGAAGAAGGGGTCACGTTATTTACCAAAGCACCAGAGGCCAAGATAAGAAACAATGATTGGAAATTGAACAAAGAGAGAAGCAACCTAGAATTAAAGAGAAACTTCCTGACAGTGAGGACAATTAACCAGTGGAACAGCTTGCCTCCAGAAATCGTGGAGGCTGCATCACTGGAGATTTTTTATTATTATTATTATTTTTATTTTTAACCAACAAAACAAAACAAAGCAAAACGTAATACATATGCACACACAGTATATACTCCTCCCCTTTTTTTAACAGCGATTACGTAACAATAATCTTCTATTATTTACATTTCCACCCCCCTTATTCTTCTTTAGAATATTTGTCCTTATTGCCCCGTTGTTTCTTATTTACATTTTTCTTCCTTCATATTCTACTTCTTACTAAGAATAATTCATATTATTATTATTATACATTATTATACACGTTTTCACTTTTGAGCTTTCCATATTTATTCTCCTCTAGTATTTCTAGTCTCCAACCAGTCATACTACTTGTTCCATGTTATATAGTACTCTGTGTCTTCCTTTTCTTTTATTTCTTTTGTTAATTTGTCCATCTCAGCACTGTCCAGGATTTTTCTTATCACTTCTTCCTCTGATGCTATATTCTCATTTTTCCAGCACTGTGCATATGCTATTCTTGCCGCCGTTATTATATGTAAAATTAAGTACCATATTTCTTTACTATATTTTCTGTTTAAAATACCTAACAAAAAGATCTCTGGTTTCCAGTCTACGGGTTGGTCTATTATTTCTTCGATCCATTTCCTTATTGTAGTCCAGTATTTTTTTGCAACTGGGCATGTCCACCATAAATGATAATATGTTCCATGTCCTTTTTTACATTTCTAGCATCTTGGTGAATTGTTCTGGAACATCTTGGCAAGCTTTGCTGGTGGAAGATGCCATCTGTAAAACATCTTCAACTGGTTTTCCTTGAATGCCACTGACATAGTCAATTTTATATTTATTTCCCATATTTTTTCCCATTTCCACTGGAGATTTTTAAGAAGAAGCTAACATTCACTTGTCTGAGAAGGTATAGGTTCTCCTGCTTAAGTGGGGGGCTGGACTAGAAGACCTCCAAGGTCCCTTCCAGCTCTATTCTATAATAATATATAATATCTGCCTCAGACACCAATGCGGTTTGTTCCTCTATCTCTCTCTTTTTTTTTTTTTGCAATCTGGATTAATTCCTGAAAGAGTCAATTGATAAGTGCCTCAAAGCCTTCCGCCATTTGGGTTGAAAATATTAAACAAGTGAGATGTTTCCAGTCTCATGAATTTAGCAACCAGGGCAGCTAAAAAGAAGAAGAACCAGCCAGGACAATTTGGGGACAAAAGTTCATGTAATTAACAAATAACGCAAGATAAATATTTACATTGCCCTGAATAACAGGATTGTCCAATTCCTCAAACAAGAAGACTGTTCGGTTGTTCACCATGGAAGGACTTTTCCTTCCCAGTTCAGAAAAGTGCCAGAGTCCTTTTCAGAAAGATGAGCCAGAAGGTTTAGGATAGCTGCTACACTTGACTCCGCTGTCATTTCAGCCTAGAGAAATGAAAATCATACTTATACTGAATAAAAACAAAAAAGAGACTGGTGGCCTTTAAGAACATTTATCAACAATTAAGCATTTCCTCAACTCTACTTTTCAAACTGATGGGCCAACTTTCATTGGACTTGCCATGGAACTGATGGTGATATTAATGTGGTATAATGAACAATCACTAGAATAATGATGTGTCTGCATAATTACTGGAATAATGCAGTGTGAGTAATATGTGACTAACCTAATGCGCATTGCACTTGGATACAATGTATGTAGTAAACTCTCTCCCTTGTATACATACCAATGTATGTAGTAAACTCTCTCCCTTGTGAGAAACAAACCTAACGTATTACAATGTGTATTCCTTTGTTCCTGAGAAAGGAAAAGTATAAAACTGAAGCCTGAATCCGCCCTCGGGGTTCAGAATTGCTAATTGCTACTGCTTCTGAACCTGTGCAATAAATCTCTCTGCTAAAATCCTCTGGAATTCGTAAGAGTCCTTTCGTTTTCCACAAGATTTCAATACTCATCGGCTCTAGCCAACATTAACTGCAATCCATCAGGGAAACACTAAGCTGGGGAAACACTGTATGATTATAATTTAATACAAGTTAACTACTGTAACACTAAGGCCAATTTGGGGAATGTGTTGAAATAAAGCTGAATTGTATGTATGTAGCACAAGGTTTCTCATCAATGATGTACAGGTAGCGCTTGACTTACAACAGTTCACTTAATGATCATTTGAATTTACAACGGCACTGGAAAAAAGTGATTTATGACTATTTTTCACACTTATGACCGTTGCAGCATCCCCAGGGTCACCTGATTTACATTCAGATGCTTGACAACCGACTCATATTTATGACGGTTGCAATGTCCCAGGAGATCATGTGATCCTTTTTTGCAATCTTCTGACAAGCAGAGTCAGTGGAGGAAGCCAGATTCACTTAACAATGGTGTTACTAATTTAAAGACTGCCGTGATTCACTTAACAAACGTGATGAGAAAAGTCGTAAAATGAGGCAAGACTCACTTAACAGATTTCTTACTTAGCAACAGAAATGTTGGGCTCAATTGTGGTCGTATGTTGAGGACTACCAGTACAAAGAAAACTCCCTCTTTCAATATTTGGGCATCAGAGGGAGACACCAGATCAGATGGGACATCTGATGGAGAAGCCAAAACACGAGCTTTAAAGTTGGAACTCTAGAACTCAAAAGGTTCTACTTTGTCCCATTTTGAACTCCTGCAGAAGACTAAGAGGTGACATGAAGCACGAAGGGTAATCAAACTCAGATCTATGGGCACTAGGTCTTCAGCAGCTGTCACCAGTGGTGGGATTCAAATATGTGAACAACCAGTTCTCTGTGTTGATGCTGCTTCTGGGCCTGGGCAACAAAAAATTAACTACCGGTTCTGCTGAACTGGTGCAAACTGGTTGAATCCCACTACTGGCTGATACCCACAGTAGACAAAAACAGTGTCCGTGCCCAAAGCAACGTACCACCAAATTGTTCATTGCTGGAGGCAAACGATCACTTTCCTTGACTTCTTAAAAAATTTTCAGGAGATCCAGCTACAGTTCCACTCAAGTGAAAACTTATAAATGAATTAAACAGGCCTACAGTAATTTTGTTTTGGATTTGGGCCAATTGATATTATCTGTTCTGGGTTAATGACGTGGTGGGTCATTAATGTTAATGACATGGTGGGTCATTAACCCCAGATATCCCCATCCAAAAGTATGAATGAGTTTTCAGAACAAAAGACCTACCATACTGCCTCCCATGTCGGTGATCACCCATCCCGGATGCAATGTGACACAGAGAATCTCATCCTCGCTACATGCCAACGATTGGCACCGTGTCAGCATATTCAGAGCGGCCTAGAACAGAGACACGCCAGAAGCAGGGAATTGCACCAAGCAGGGTCCATGAGCAAGCAAAAATGCATGTTTTATCCTTTCAGTGTCAGAATGGGGTTTGACTTTGAGCGCAGGGCAGGGCAGGAAAAGAAAGGGAAGGGAAGGAAAGGAAAGAAAAGGAACAGGGAGATGAGAGGAGGGAAGGGAAGGGAGAGGAGAGGAAAAAGAGATTCCACAAATAAATAGAACATGAAATAGGAAAGTGATAGGTATTACATTGACATAATCAACCCTGGATTCTCTTTTGGATGCATCTTTGGAAAGCAATGTTGGCTTATTCAGGATTCAATAATGTACCTCTGAATTCTTTTGTGTTTGCCAAATGTACAGTAATGCACCACTTATACCGCGCACCTTTTCTAAAACAAGATCAGTATCCTTGTTTTGACAGTGAATGAAAAGTAACTTCCTAACCAGTCCTTCCACTGATGACTCTCGTGGTCTGTTAAAGCTAAGGAAAGCTCCAGTAAAAATCAACAGGCGTGGTCACGGTTTTACTTAGCAACCGCCTCACTTAACAGCCCAGTTCCTGGCCTCAGTTGCGGTCACTATACAGAGTTATTTTAATTACCCTCCACTCTTTGCGCCAATGTACATCTATTACCTTGCTGCAACGGTAAGGAAGAACCTGTCCGTATTTCCACAGGTAAACATCTGTGATGGAACCTGCTTGACTGGACATGTTGACAATGGAGGCCTTGCTGCAGCTCATCCCTTTCTTAGGACTTTCCTGAGATGCCTTTCTCAGCAAAGGCAGGAATGCCTAGAAAAATCAGACAGAACTTAGAGCAGTGGTTCTCAACCTGTGGGTCGGGACCCCATTTGGGGTCGAACGACCATTTCACGGGGGTCGCCAAGCAACGCAGTCCGCCATTTTTTCCCCTTTTTTGAATAGAGTCTAATTCTATTGGCTTTCCAAAGCCAATAGGAATTGTCCAGGCTGTCTCTGCCCTGCTGAGCCCGCCAAAAGTCCCATTCTGCAAACGGTGCTGCACCAGTTGAGTAGTCCTCGACTGATGATCGGTTGAGTAGTCCTCGACTTACGACCGGTTGGGGGTCGCGGCATTAAAAAGGTTGAGAACCACTGACTTAGAGCAACCACCTATTCATAGGGCTTGGAAACCAGGGACCCCCTAATTGTTGCTCAATAACCATTCCCAGCATTTATCAGCATTAAGGATTGTTGTTTTACAATATCAAGGTGGACTCAGCCTTCCATCCTTCCAAGGTTGGTAAAATGAGGACCCAGATTGCTGGGGGCAACAGGCTGACTCTGTAAACTGCTTAGAGAGGGCTGTAAAGCACTATGAAGCGGTATATAAGTCTAAATGCTATTTCTATTCCAGCCATGGTGTGGAGTGGTTAGAATGCAGTATTGCAGGCTAATTCTGCCCACTGCCAGCAGTTCGATCCTGACTGGCTCAAGGTTGACTCAGCCTTCCATCCTTCCAAGGTTGGTAAAATGAGGAGCCAGATGGCTGGGGGCAATAGGCTGACTCTGTAGACCACTTAGAGAGGATTGCGAAGCACTGTGAAGCGGTATATAAGTCTAAGTGCTATTGCTATATCTACAGATCTATGGATTCGCCCTAGGAAATCAATAGCTGTCTCTTCCTGTAGCAAAGTCTATGGTCTAAAAACAAAGCAGAACCCAGCAATTGCTCACAAAAGATCTGATTTTTTTCCCCCATTTGACAGTTTCAATAGGGGCAACTGCCCACGCTTAAAAGCTGTATCTCTTGAAGTCCTTCCTCTTAATATTTGGCCCTGTGCCTTCATTAGCTGGAGAAGCCACAACTGTTATGCTCACCCCAGAAATCAACAAACTTCTTTTTCTGAACGCTAAGAACTTGGCAGTAGGAAGAAACAGTTCAAAGAGAAAAGGAGGATCAAGAGATGCTTCTCCTACCTGGCTAATCATCATGGGCCCAATGACGTTGGTTTTGTAGACCTCAGCCATTTCTTCAGGCGTTTGAAATTCCAGCTTGGAATCAGTTGAGCCAACGGCTGCATTGTTGATCAGCAGATGCAACCCAGTTCCACTCAACCGCTCTGTGACCATGGTTACAGCTGACTTGATACTGGATGGATCGGTAATGTCTACAGGAACAAGGAGAAGATACGGGTAATGCTCAACTTATAGCCACAGCTGAGCCCAAAGTTTCTGTTGCTGACACTTCTTAAGTATTGCTCCATTTTATGACCTTTTTTGCGACAGTTGTTAAGCGAATCGCTGCAGATGTTAAACTAGGAGCACAGCTGTTAAGTGAATCTGGTTTCCCCATTGTCTTTGCTTGTCAAAAGGTTGCAGAAGGGGATCACGTGACTCCCAGACTCATCGTAAATATGAGTCACTTGCCAAGCGATCTGAATTTTGATCATGCAGCCCTGGGGATACTACAATGGCTATAAATGTGGAAATGGTCCCAAGTCACTTTTTTTCAGTGCTGTCGTAACTTTGAGCGGTCACTAAATGAACCCTTGTAAGTCGAGGACTCCCTGTCTTGATGGGTGATGAGTCATTTCTAGCCAGGATTCGGTTTCTCGCGGTTTCCCAGTCAAGGATGAAAAACCAATTTAAACTGGGAAAGGAAAGGAGATGCTTTTCACCAGGGCAGCTCTGGCAACATTGCGCAGTGGGAATTTCCTAACTCAGGGGTAGGCAGCCTTGGCTCTTTTATGACTGGTGGACTTCAACTCCCAGAATTCCTGAGCCAGCCATGCTGAGGGGAAAGGGAGAGATTTCCAAGCTGAGGCATGCTGGCTCAGGAATTCTGGGAGTTGAAGTCCATGAGTCATAAAAGAGCCAAGGTTGACTACTCCTGTCCCAACTAGAGGAAGGGACCTGCTACATGCCCTGCCACACGGGTAGTCCTCAATTTATGACCACAAATGGGGACCAGAATTTCCATTGCTAAGTAAGATGGTTGTTGTATCCCTGATTTTATGACTTTTCCCATAGTTGTGAAGAAAAATCACTGAAGTTGTTAAGTGGATCAAACAGTCATGAGCCGAACCCGGCTTCTCCCATTGAGTTTGCTTGTCAAAAATCATCTGGGAAGGTGCCAAATGTTGATCTCATGAACCCGGGATACTGCAATCATTGTAAATACATGCCAGTAGCCAAGTGAATGTTGAGCACACGACTGTGGGGAATGTTGTGACGGTTGTAAGTGTGAGCAATTGGTTGCAAATCACTCTTTTTTCAGTCCTGTTGTCATTCTGAATGATCACTAAATGACTGGTTATAAGTCAAGGACTACCTGTATAGTAACAGAAATATTATATCGGTTTCCAGGGTTGAATATTTCATTCCTACCAGTTCAAACAAATGTTCCAAATCCCTCTCTGGAAATTGAACTCAATGGTAGAAATGAAATTTGTATGGATAGTGATAAAGTAATACCGTCTTTCCTGGGGTATCGTCAAGACTAGTCACTTACTCAGTGGGATGATCACAATTTCCTGGTGTTGAGCAGCCAGATTCCTCAAATCCTGAAATATACGAAAACCAGAGATTTAGGAAAGACCCTCAGCTAATGGGCTGTTTCTCACACCCCACTAACTTTGGCATTCAGATATCTCACTATTTTTAAAGGCTAAGCTTCGCTTGTATCCTTAGTTCGCTGCAGAAACAGTCTCAATTTGTTGTGAGCTGTCCCAGTTTTGAACTAGTGTTTTCTCTTTTCCCCAACACGGGTTTTGCCATATGAACAATCTGCAACACCTCATTAACAATTATGATGAAGATGACACAGCCCTGAGCAAGGATTTGCCCACTACCTATTGTACCCTTAATGCTGCAGGGTGTATCCCCATCTCTAATACTGCCTTGGCGCTACCCACCATCATCATTTTGTTTTGGATTGCAGGAGAAATTGCAGAGGGTGCTGCCACCTTATGCCAAAATGACACTTTTGAAGTGTGTGCGAAGTCTCACTCTTTTCAACGTGTGCTAGAGCACTGGATTTAGCAGTCTTTTGGGCAGAGTTTTGCTACTTTTTGTCTTCTAGCCTGAATAAGACATTATAGTGGCCTTCTGAAAGACACTATATTGGTCTCCTGAAAGACACTACGTTGGTCTTCTGAAAGACACTATGTTGGTCTTCTGAAAGACACTATGTTGGTCTTCTGAAAGACACTATACTGGTCATCTGAAAGACATTACATTGGTCTTCTGAAAAACATTACATTGGTCTTCTGAAAGACACTATGTTGGTCTTCTGAAAGACACTACATTGGTTTCCTGAAAGACACTACGTTGGTCTTCACAAAAGCAAAGCAATAAGAAGAGAGACACAGCGGCAACTGAAATGGAATACAGCAGAGAAGGGAGCGATAGAGCAGAACGAGAACAGCGTGAAGAAGCAGAGAGCCCACAGTAAAATTTATAAAACGTGAGAGACTGGAATTTAAGAGCTGCAAGAAGTAGAGATTGAAACTAGAGAAAGGACTGGAGAAAGAAGGATTAAAAAGTGAAGAGAGACAACGGAGAAATTTAATACTGCTTAGTGGAACTTATTTTTGAAGAGCAAATAGCATTGAAATTTGGACTTTAACTGACATATATATGGGTAACGTGACGAGTGGACGTTTTGGAAATATTGGATTCATAGAAGAAGAAATAAGAGGTGACACTTGGTGGATCTGTGGATAGATCAAATTGAGACAGAGAGAAAAAAGGCTGATGCAATATTGTAGCACTCGTATACAAGCAGTATTAAGCTACAAGCACAAAAGGGGTGTCAGGCAATGTATTAAAAGGAATGAAGCAAATGAATTGTATTAACGAATAGAAATAAGCATAATTGAGTATTATTCAAATAAGAATGATAGTGAATGAAATTAAGAGTGGTGATAATACTTAGAGAATAGTATATGTATTGTGTGTAGTGTTATAGAAATATATATAAGTGCTGTTAAGAGTATTATAAATTATACTATATAATAGTGGGATAAGGAAAGGTATAACTCTATTTGTAATCTTATTTTTAATGTTAACCCTAAGAATAACATTCTATAAAGGTATTATAGTCATATATATAGTCACATATATTGATACATAATTAGAAATATTATATATATATATATATATATATACTTTTTACTATCTATATTATATATATATATTTACATATTTAAGCTTATATAGATTGAAAACCATCTTGATTAACAAAAACAACTTGCGATAAATTGGTATGTGCGAATGTGGAAAAATATTATTTAAGTAATAAAAATGACAAGTACCACAACAACAACTAAAGTAGGCAAAAAAACAGCTACAAATCCCACACCTATAATGGAGTTGACATTATTTTTTCAAGTAAATAAAAAGGAAGAGATATCAACACAAAATGGGACAACAAGGACAAATATATCTAAAGAAGAATAAGGGGGGGGGAATGTAAATAATAGACTACCATTACGAAATTGCTGTTTAAAAAAAAGGAGTACACACTGTCTGTGTGTGTGTGTTATGTTTTGTTTTGTCTTGTTTTGTTGGTTTAAAAAATAAAAATTGATATACAAAAAAAACTGTGTTCAAAAAATAGTTTGGCTGATGAGTCAGTGTGATGGAGGACAGATCCATGATGAAGCAGGAGAGAAATTAAAAACAAAATAAAGTGAAAATACATTTAAAAAGCATATATAATTGTGAGGAGAAAATCCTAACTAAGAAGGAAAGATCCATATACTATTAATATATTACTAGCTCAAGCATTTGACATTTGCACCACACAGATACACTCTGTTCCATCGTATTTCTACAATATAAAGACAGTTTAAAAATCAACAAGAGAACACACCTCCTGAATCTTTTCTTTGATATGTGGATTTTGTTTTCAGTAATGAAGAATGATTCTCTTAGGTATCCCACGGCCATCAGATAACAAATTCCATTTTTTTTTACTGTAGTTTATCCTCACATTTACATCTTCAGTTAACTATCACCACATCTTTATTATGGTCGTAGTCCAGTGGGATACAGTCAATACTGAACAACTATGTTTTTCCCCAAAGTTATATTTTCTATTAAACTATTAATATTATTAAATTTAACTCCCCCTGAGGATCTTTATGGGAACATGATCAAATCAAAGAGCCTTCACATTTCTCGTCAATACAAAAAATAAAATTAATATCTGATATACATTTCCACTTTTCTAGCACCCCTCAGGCTTGATCTTGGAATTAATTGGCTAGATCAATACTTCTGATTCAAGACAATAAAACTCATGTGTGAAAACGTGATTTCCAAGGGTAATGTCAGTATCTGGCTTCCTATCTATTCTTGGCCCTGATTTCAATGCTAAACGATCTTTAAAGGCTGCCAGTCAGCTTCTCTCTCTCTTAACAGACCCCATCCTATGACATACCTGAGTACGTGGTCCCTCTGGATCCCGGCAGGTTGCAAAGATCCATTGTGGTGGGTTGCTTTTCTCAGCCAGCTGTTTGATCATCTCCAAGCCGATGCCCCGATTACATCCCGTCACGAGGACACTGCGTGGATTCAGCCCTTCCATATTTTCTTACCTGCCGGTCTAGAATAACCTAAGAAAAAAAACTTCTGGTGATTGTCTTTTACTAACCTCTATCTCAGTCCTAAGTATTTGCAAACACCTCTTATTTAATGTTCCAGGTGCAATGAAGAGGAAGAGATAACTGATCTGTTGGTGCAATGCCTGGATTTAATAAGTACCTGCTTGACCTTTGGACCATTTCAGGCTTTCTCCTACAGGTTTGCAGATTTCCTGACTGAGCAATAAAATCTGAGACCTCCCTACTTTCCATTTGCCCTTTAAACGTTGGCACAAAAGACAAATAGGGAATGGGGTACAAAGAGGAGGAGAAGCAAAACAAATATTAAGAACAGTTCTTCGGTGTTACCTAAAGAATAAGCCAAGGTCACCAATCACAATACTTGGATCATAAAAAAAGAAGTGAACAAAGCACCAGGTACACCCAGTGCTATATAGCAGGGGAAAGGTTCCACTAAACTCAGGGTGGGAAGGTCTGAAACAAAAGAGGCAGTTACTCAGCAGCACAATATTCCCTCCGTGTGCAGCTCTCCCAGGTTGAGGTGTTACCTTCCCCAATGAAAGCTAGAGAAACAGCCGTTCTTACTAAAGGTGATCTCCACCCTTAACAAATAAATTCGCTGACAACGTTTATAAAGTCTTCATCTTACTTCAGTGGGGGGGGAGGCTGTGTTGGTGCAACCTAAAGTTAAAGCATTTGTCAAAATAAACACGGCTTCCTTAGGGATAACTCATTACATAATGTATTCTGTAAAAAGGAAGTTTTACATAAGAGTAACCTCACACCAATAAATAAACAGTGCTTTCAACTTCACTGGCGTACTATTACTTTAGTTTTTTTCTCTGTTTATTTTCAGTCCCGCCATTTCTCCATATTGTTCTATCTTTCCCAGTAATTTAGGAATCATTTCCAAAGTTTCTTCTAAGATAAATACCAAATCATCAGCAAATGCTTGTAATTTATATGTTTCCTGTATATTCAACCTCAATTCAGATGTCATCCATTCAGTGTGATGGGGGGGGGAGGTTGTTTGGTTTGCAAAACCTAGATATGTCTCCATGAACCATTAGATCACACAAGGAACCCATTGCCTGTTGCTTGGGCTCCATCATGAATCCTGTAAGAGCTAACAATAAGTTCTTTGAGGGTTTTTTTTCCATCCTAAATGTAAGATGCTAAGAAAAAGACTCAGGCATGTCTTGAGCAGAGATTTGAAGCTGCTGCAGAGCTGTTTGTCACAGCTTGAGACAGCTTGAGAGTCTCTGTGTGTTTATTGGTTTTTATATACTTTTTACATACATAGGCTTTACCATTAAATGCTGACATTTTACATTCATAAGTTTAACCATTAGATCAGTGTTTCTCAACCTTGACAATTTTAAGGCATGTGGACTGCAACTCCCAGAATTCTACAGCCAGCTATGCTGGCTGTGGAATTCTGGGAGTTGAAGTCCACATGCCTTAAAATTGTCAAGGTTGAGAAACACTGCATTAGATGCTGACATAAAGTTTCTTCATTGGAAAATTCCTTCATATAAGCAACTATTGTCTAGTAACATATTACCTGATCAAAGACCAGTTAAAGAACAAATACAGTAGATCAAAAGGAGAAAGAATTGACAAAGGCAGGAAGAGATAGGAAGTAACTTAACCATATTATCTATTTAGGTTGGTAAGGCATTAAGTCAAAAGGGAATGACCTTCTGGCTGCTTCATTGGGACAAAGGGTATCAAAAGGTTATGAGGTTTGTGGGGGGGGGAAGCATGGCAGTTTGCTGCGCGTGCATTTTTCCCCACACCTAAACATAACTATTTTATTTTTTCATTAGGTATGGGGCTTGAGCTCTCCTGGACAACACCCAGATGCTAAAACAACAGTGTGAAAACAGCAACAGCTGAAATTCTCATGATATTTTTGGCACACTTCAAGATCTTTAAGAACTTCAGAATATCCCCCAAGATTGTGGTCTTCTGCTTCAAGATAATGGTGAATCTTTCTGTGAGCTTGCAAGATATCACAGCAGGGGTCTTCAAACTTGGCCCTTTGATGACTTGTGGACTTCAACTCCCAGAATTCCTCACGCGGGCACGCTGGCTGAGGAATTCTGGGAGCTGAAGTCCACAAGTCATAAAAGGGCCAGGTTTGAAGACCCCTGTCTTAAATCTAACAAACAAAATGGAGGCTGGCTGAGGAATTCTGGGAGCTGAAGTCCACAAGTCATAAAAGGGCCAGGTTTGAAGACCCCTGTCTTAAATCTAACAAACAAAATGGAGGCTGGCTGAGGAATTCTGGGAGCTGAAGTCCACAAGTCATAAAAGGGCCAAGTTTGAAGACCCCTGTCTTAAATCTAACAAACAAAATGGAGGCTGGCTGAGGAATTCTGGGAGCTGAAGTCCACAAGTCATAAAAGGGCCAAGTTTGAAGACCCCTGTCTTAAATCTAACAAACAAAATGGAGGCTGGCTGAGGACTTCTGGGAGCTGAAGTCCACCAGTCATAAAAGGGCCAGGTTTGAACACCCTTTATTACAGGATCTCACCTCCATCTTGCAGAACAAAATCCGTCAGATTTTAATCAGTGTTTAAAAGGCGTCTTTATTATTTTAGCTTTACTTTTGGGTTGGGGAGAAGACTGCTTGGGAGAATTCATTGTATTGTGCTTCATGTGAGGACCTCTCCTGAGCTCTCACACAAAATGGAAGTCAGGAGTTAACAAGAAAAACGAGTGCCAGCCTGATCAAGGTCCAGTCCAACAAAATAAGGCGAAGGTTACCGGGTCCGGTAGCAACATTCGGTGTTGTTTTGCTCCCAGTTTACACCAGTGTAATCCCATTTGATTTCCAAACTTCGGCAAATTGACAGAGTTAGCTTTTGGCTCAACTTACATTCTGTCCTTGGCAATAATACACAGCGGGACTGCAAAACAGAGAAAGAGTTCTGCCCTGAATTTGCACCAAAGTGTAAGTTGTTCTGTTGTGAAAGGAAGAAAACTGACATTTAGAAGAGGGCAAGAGAAAGTGAGCTGGGTAGTTGTAGATTTGTACAGCTTTCTGGGGGCATTGTGGATGGGAAACTCACATCTTCCTGTACCTCCTTGTGGCATCTTAGTGTGAGCCAGCCCGGGAGGCTGATCCAAGTTTTAAAACAGGAAAGCTCCCTTTTTATGACCCTGTAATAGCTTAATTCAGGGTACAGTCAGGGTGACTGGATGGAGTTGAGAGTTTACTGGCCAGATACTCTTCCTAACACCATGCAGGGTTCACAGCAGATTTTTTTTTATTTCTTAATGCCCTAAGAGAGAGAGATCTACCACTACCTAGAATGGAACTCTCCGTTCAAATATTTGTATTAGTTTATCAAAATATAAATTACAGAAATACAAAGAAAAATGAAGATAAGAGGAAAAAGGAAAGAGAGAAAAGTGTAGGGGAAAGGGGAAAAAAAAAGCATTGACTTCCGACTTCTTTTGCTGCAGTAGAATAAGGTAGTAACATAAAACCTCGCCTTTTTTGAAGCTGTGTAGAAAGACTTGGATAGACCCATGCCTGGATTTAGACATGGAGGGATAGCAATTGCACTCAGACTTATATACCGCTTCATAGTGCTTTACAGCACTCTCTAAGTGGTTTACAGAATCAGCACATTGCGCCCCCAACAATCTGGGTCCGACCTGGGAAAGATGGAAGGCTGAGTCAACCTTGAGCCAGCGAGGATCGAACTGCTGGCAGTCAGCAGAATTAACCCACAATACCCCATTGTAACCACTGCGCTCTTATGGGACTGGGTTTGAAGATGTAGGCTATGCAAGCGTTAACAAAGAAGAAGGTTGGGGAACATCTGAACCTAACATACAAGTGATGGAATAGGAAAGGATCGTCTCCATACCTGGGATACATTCCCGCTGAAATAAAGTTGATCTTAGTTAATAAGGATCACGTGGGCATAATTTATGGAAATTCTATATGTGATTTTATGATAAAATGGTAACAAAATTTTAAAAACCCTCTGAATCTTTTGCAAGGCCCCTTCAAATTGTGAGGGCCTAGGATGTAGCTTGCTTAGCCTCTGTCTAAATTTGGCTCTGGATGAAACAAGCACGGTATGGGCTTTTTTCCCGGAACGTATTTTCAAGGAGTGTTCCTTGAACAAACATATTGGAAAACTAGACAATGGCTTCTTGGTTGGCATTATTCTTCACTAGAATTTGCTCCAATGTTCCTATTTAATTTTTGAAAGTTATAACTATTGCTCCAAGTTCCTTGAACAGGCAATCTAAAGTCAATAAATACCTCAGAGCAGATCTACCTTGCGAGACTTTGATGAGAACCATGCTTAGGATTTACTCCATGAGCTTAGAAAGTGTTTACAGTATCTAGACAAATATTAAGTTGGCTCATGATTCAACCTGTTAAATCAGCAAAATCAGTGGCTCTTTCTTCCAAACAGGTTCAAGTTTTACAGGGTTAGTGCTGGGTCTTCACCTGTGTCTTACCATGCTTGCTTTAAGGACTTCTAGTCAAATGTAATGAAGACTTGCCTCCAGAAGTTGGGGGTATCCCAACACTGGAGGTTTTTAAGAAGAGATTGGACAACTCTTTGTCTGAAACGGTATAGGGTTTCCTGTTTGACCAGGGGGTTGGAATAGATGACCTCCAAGGTCCCTTTTAACGTTGTTATTTTGCTTATTAGAGCTGTCTTTCTTCAGTTCCCATGCCTTTGCATCAATCTTTTAAAAATCTGAAATCCCTCCAGATGTTTGAACTTCAACTCCCAGAAGTCTAAATCTTGCCAGGCTGGCTAGAAGATTTGGTGAGCCAAAGTCTAGAAGATTGATGTGGCTTCTAAAAAGCTATTCCTTTCTGCCCTTTCACGGAGGACTACAGAGATTTTATATATATATATATATATATATATATATATATATATATATATATATATATATATATATATATATATATATATATATATTAAAAATGACTTTGTTGAAGAACACAAATGGAAAGAATAAAAACCAACATGACAGAAGGGGCATATTTGACTTTAACTAAATTTTAAATTCAAGATCCCTATTTATTCTTTTACAGTGGTGGGATTCAAATAGGTGAACAACCGGTTCTCTGTGTTGGATGCCGCTTCCAGAAGTCCATTCTGGGCCTGGGCAACAAAAAATTAGCTACCGAACCGGCTGAATCCCACCACTGTTCCTTTAGTGTCTTACAGTGTACAAACAAATAATACAGCCTAGGGGAAGAAAAAAAAAGTAAGAATTAAAGTGCAAAAAAAAGGGGGAAATAAAAAAAGTAACTTCCACCTTCATCAGGACAACTATAAATAATTTTAGTAACTTAACGCCCACCTCTTAAAGTACACCAGACACCCAGTTTATCCCATATCTTGTTGCTTCACTAAAAAAGACAATTCCACTTGCCGTTAGTCAGAAAATATCTTACCTTGATTTCTCTCTTTTTTCGTAGCACTGCTATGACCACCTTTGCAATTCTGAAACACATTAATACTCTTCAATTTAGGGTA